TCTCTCTCTGGCTTTCCTTCTCTCTCTGCCTCTCTTCTCCATCTGCATAGCTCCGGCTTTCAAATAAATAAATAAATAAATCTTTTTTTAAAAAAAACTATACTATTTAGTTTCCAACTGTTTGTAGATTTGCTTTCTATTGTTGATTTCTACTTGGATTGCATCATGATCAGAGAACAATACTCTGATTTCAGTGCTTTTACATTTGTTGTTTCTGAAAGAAAACACTATCTTAATTAGGACTGACTTTAAGGCCTTAAATTCATATATGTCATTCATACTGTTACATTTCAAACAGGAAAGAGTAATCAATCCACTCATTGGATTAAAATCATTGAAATGATTTTAACAAGACTTTGTAAAACTTTACAGGAAGACAACTATAATGTCCTCGGTCTGTGGGTCCAGGGTGCAAGGCTGAGGCTCACCTCCTTTGCTGAGTTTCTCCTTTGGTGACCCAGGAAGTCATCAGCCTTGCCTGTGTTCCATGGGCATGTGGGGGGAGGACTGTGGACTCTGTTGTTGGGTAGAGTGCTTTATTTTTTTTCTTTTCATTTTTTTTTTTTATTTTGACAGGCAGAGTGGACAGTGAGAGAGAGAGACAGAGAGAAAGGTCTTTCTTTGCCGTTGGTTCACCCTCCAATGGCCACCACGGCCAGCGCGCTGCGGCCAGCGCACCTTGCTGATCCGATGGCAGGAGCCAGGTGCTTCCTCCTGGTCTCCCATGGGGTGCAGGGCCCAGGTACTTGGGCCATCCTCCACTGCACTTCCCTGGCCACAGCAGAGAGCTGGCCTGGAAGAGGGGCAACTGGGACAGAATCCGGCGCCCCAACCGGGACTAGAACCCGGTGTGCCGGTGCCGCAAGGCGGAGGATTAGCCTAGTTAGCTGCAGCGCTGGCCGGTAAAGTGCTTTCTAAATGTTACTTAGATCCTACTATTGATAGCACTGTTGAGTTCTGTATACTTCTGGATTTTCTGTGTTATTTTTCTTTCTATTTTTGAGAGAGAGAGATGCTTCACTCTCCAACTATGATTGTGAATTTATCTATTTCTCATTTCAATTCTCTCAGTCTTTTATTTCACATATTTTAGCCCTTCTGTTTGATGCATGTAACTTTAGGATTGCTATGTGCTCTTGACTGGGTTTACTTTTTTAATTATAAAGTGTTCCCCTTGGTCCCTTGTAATTTTCTTTCCTTCCAAGTCTACTTTTTTTTTAAACTTATTTATTTATTTGAAAGGCAGCATTAAAGAGAGAGAGAGGGAGAGACAGAGAGACAGATCTTCTGTCCGCTGGTTCATTCCTCAAACACTGCAACAGCCAGGGCTGAGCCAGGCCAAAGCCGGGAACCTGGAGTTTCATCTGAGTCCCCACGTGGGTACAGGGGCCTAAACATTGGGCCATCTTCTGCTGCTTTCTCAGGTTTATTGGCAGCGAGCTGGATCAGAAGCAGAGGAGCCAGGACTTGAACCAGCAGAGGCTTAACCTGCTGTCACATACCAAAGTCTGCTTTATCTGATAGTAGTGTGGCTACTCTTGTGTTCTTTTGGTTAATGTTTGCAGAGTGTATTGTTTTTATCCAATTCTTTTCTCTTTTTTTTAAGATTTATGTATTCATTTGAAAGAGTTACACAGAGAGAGGAGAGGCAGAAAGAGAGAGAGAGAGAGAGAAAGAGAGAGAGAGGTCTTCCATCTGATGGTTCACTCCCCATTTGGCCACAATGGCCGGAGCTGCACTGATCTGAAGCCAGGAGCCAGGAGCTTCTTCTGGGTCTCCCACATGGGTGCAGGGGCCCAAGGAATTGCACCATCTTCTGCTACTTTCCCAGGCCATAGCAGAGAGCTGGATCAGAAGTGGTGCAGCCAGGTCTCGAACCGGTGCCCATATAGGATGCTGGCATTTCAGGCCAGGGTGTTAACCTGCTGCGCCACAACACCGGCTCCTATCCCATTATTTTCAAAACCTACATTATTATATTTGGATTGAATGTTTAGTGGACAGTTAGATAATGGGTTTTAATCCCTCTGCCAATCTTTTAATGTGTACATTTAGACTATTTATTGCAATTATTAATTATTTGTGTTTTCAATTTTTTTTAACTAGGGAGAAAGGAAAGGAGGGGGAAGGAGGAGGGGGGGAGAAAGAGGAAAGAGAGAGAGAGTGACTTCCATCTGCTAGTTCATTCCTCAAATGCCCCCCATTAGCTAGGGATGACCCAGGTCAAAGCCAATAGCCAGGAATCCACTCCAGATCTCTCACAAAGGTAGCAGGGACTCAACAACTTGAGCTATCACATTAGCAAGAAGCTGGAAATGAGGGCAGAGTGACGACTCAACCAGGCACTCAGATGTTGGATGCCAGGACTCAAACTGGTGCTCGTATGTGGTACTGGCATTGCAGGTGGTGACTTTACCCACTGTGCCACAACACCAGCCCCTTTGTCAGTTTTCTGAGTAAATTCTTTAGATATCATATGGTATGAACATAACTTATTACTGTCAGGGGTTGTCAATGTTTTAACAGTTCAGATGAAGCAGAGAAAGCCTAACTCCGCTTTCTTCGTTTATGATAGAATTGTCTTAAATATTTGCTCTACATAGAGAACCACGTCAGACAGTGTTATAATTTTTGCTTCAATGATCAAACAATTTAGAAGACTGAAGAGGAGCAGAAAACATTATTATACTTATCCTTATTTTTGTGTATGTTCCAAGAATCCTTTAACTTTTTTCTTTTGTTTTAGACAAGTTTCTTAGCCATTCTTTCAGTGTAGATACGTTAGCAAAAATTTCTTTTAGTTTTCTTTCATCAGAGACTGTCTTGATTTCCCCTTCATTCCTGGTGGGTATTTTCTCTGAATAGAGAACTCTGGGTTGACCAGTCTTCTATCAGCCCTTCAAAAATGTCCTGCCACTTTCCTTTTGAACTCCGTGGCTTCCTTTGTGAAATCTGCTGTCAAAGTGTTGTTGTTAAATTTTCATTTTATTTGGAAGGCAGAAAGAGAGAGAGAGAGACAGAGACAGACCTTCTATCCACTGGTTCACTTTCCAGCTGCTGGCAACAACTGGTTCTGGGCCAGACTGAAGCCAGAAGCTGGGAACTCAATTCTTTGCCCACATGGGTGGCGGGGACCCAAGTACTCGAGCCATCACCTTCTACTTCCCAGGGTCTGCATTATCAGGAAGCTGGAATCAGAAGCAGAGCCAGGACTCAAACCAGGCACTCTGATACGGGAGATGGGCCTCCCAAGTGGCATCTTAACTACTGTGCCATTCACCTACCCCTTAGATTGTTTCACCTCTACAGGGAAAATGTCATTTAAAAATATTTATTTATTTATTGAAAAGACATAGTTATAGAGAGAGGGGGAGAGACAGAGACACAGAGAGATCATCCATCCATTGGCCCATTCACCAAATGGCCTCAACAGCTGGTACTGGCCCAGGTGGAAGCTAGAACCCTGGATCTCCCTCTGGGTCTCTCACATGGGTAGCAGAGGCCTAAGCACCCAGGCCATCTTCTGCTGCTTTCCCAGGTAAAGTAGTAGGGAGCTGGATCAGAAGTGTAGCAGCTGGGACTTGAACCAGCACCCATATGGGATGCCAATGTTCCGGGTTGCAGTTTAACCCACTACACCGCAATGCCAGCCCCAAATGTCATTTCTTATTAGGAGTTTGTCTTTAATTGACTATTATGTGCGTTGGTGTAGATTGCTTTGGATTTATACTATTTGCAGTTTTCTTGCTTCTTGAATATGTAGGTTTATGTCTTTTGCCGATTTGAGGAAGTTTTCACTCTTTATATCTTGGAGGGCTTTATTCAGCCTGGTCTTTTCCTCCTGTTTTAGGACTTTGATGCCACTAGTATTAGGGCTTTAGTCTCACACATTCCTAAAGCTCCATTTGCTTTCTTCTGGTTATTATTGCTCACTTTTTCTCTGTTGTACACATCAAGCAACTGCTATCATCTTTTCTTCAAGATCATTGATTTTTTAAATATTGTCTCCTACATTGTTGCAAGCCCATCTACTGAGTGGTTTTTGGTTGTTGTGACTTTCCATTTTAAAATTTCCATGGTTTGCTTCACTTTTATGCCTTCACTTTCTTTGCTTTTTTTTTTTTTAAGATTTACCTTATTTATTTGAAAAAGAGTTACACAGAGAGAGGTGGAGCCAATAAAGAAAGAGGTCTTCCATCCACTCGTTCACTCCCCAAATGGCTACAAAGGCCAGAGTTGAGCTGATCCGAAGCCAGGAGCCAGGAGCTTCCTCCTGGTCTCCCAAGTGGGTACAGGAACCCAAGGACTTGGGCTATGTTCTGTTGCTTTCCCAGGCCATAGCAGAGAGCTGGATCAGAAGTGGAGCATCTGGGACATGAACTGGCACCCATATGGGATGCCAGTGCTACAGACCAGGGCTTTAACCCGCTGCACCCCATTTGTTTTTGTTTCAAGGGTTTACTAATTTCTCAGCAAAGCCTTTTTGATGATGGTTACTTTAAAATCTTTGTCGTGTAATATCTTTGTCATCTTGCTCTAGGCACCTGTTGATTATCTTGTTTTCTTACAAGATTTATTTATTTGCAGGCAGAGCAGATAGAGAGATCTTTCATCTGCTTGTTCATTTCCCAAATGGCTCCAACAGCCAGGGTGGGCCAGGCTAAAGCCAGGAGCTAGGAACTCTATCTGGGTCTCCCATGTCTCCCAAGTACCCAAGTACCCAACTACTTGGGCCATCGTTTGCTGCTTTCCCAGGCACATTGGCAGGAAGCTGGCTCAGAAATATAGTAGTCAGGGCTTTAGCCATGCACTACAGTGTAGGATACCAACGTGGTAAGTAACAGATCAACCCACTGCACCACCAGCCCCTTGATTATCTTTTTTCATTCAGTTTTAGGTCTTCCTGGTTCTTGCTATGATGAGTGATTTTCCATTGGAACTTGTTTATTTGTAGTTTTATGCAATAAGATTCTGAATCTTGTTTAAACCTTCTATTTTAGCAGGATCCAGCAACTGTCAAAGGAAAGAAAGGAAATCCAGCATGCGCTCAGCAGGGAAAGGACAGGTGCCACCTTATTTTCATGGTTCGAAAAGTTCCTGGGAAAATGGAATCAAAGGTTATGTATATTTTCCGTAAACTTGTTAAAGCCCCTTTTTGTAGCTGATGCATCAGGCATCACTGCATTTCAGCCAGTTTGCGTTTTTACTGAGCACCCACTGCCGCTCCCTGTGGGAGAAGCTACTATCCAGCACGTTGCAGATGAGAAAACTGAGGCACAGAAATGAGAAATAACTTGCTGTAAGCCTACAAGGCACTGAGACGTATCAGCACAAGCTTTCGTGGGCTCTTCCCACCATCCTGCATCACCGCACCCTGTTCCCAAGGGCCCTGGCCAGCCTGCCAGAGCCACCGTAAAATGTGACTGTCACAGGCAATGTCCCCTCTTAAAAAGAATTTGGAAGAACATTTTCTAAATCTACACTTTGGTTAGCTTTAGGCTATCTGTGTTATAGGTAATTTGGTTTTCTCCTGTCCTTGCAGCGTTGTCTTAAAATGATATAAGAACATTTAGTATATCTGCAAATAGGAAATGAGCCTTTTTAAAAAGGAAAGTAAACAGGCAAAAATAAAATGTTCAGAACTGAAGGCGGCTGTCAGTGGGCACAGTGTGAGAGGAAAGCGAGAGTCTGCGCACAGACGCGGGGCATATTTTCATATTCTCTGCCCTCCTTTGAAGCAAGGGCTCACTTCATACACTGAAGATGGCTGAAGACTCGATGCTGTCAGTTTTATTTTCCTAAGTCAAAGCTTATTTTAAATCAGCTGTAGGGAAGTTCTTATATATGTAAATATTGTAGTGATTCCTTCTGTAAACTTACAGTCAGACATTCATTTGTACTTTGCAGTTTACAAAGCACGTAACATGTAAGGGTACTTCCAAAAGTTTGCGGAAACTGCGATTAAAAGATAACTTATTTTGCTGTAAACATTTTGAAATCCATGCATCACTTTTTAATAGTATGTGTTTTCCATGAACTTTTTGGAGATCCCTTGTATGCATGAATTTCAAGGTTTCTTTTTTTGTACCAAAATAAACATGTTTTAATTCCATTTTTCCTCAAACTTTTTATAGAATATATTTTCAATTTAAATTTTATGATTTATTTGCTTATTTTCATTTTGCATGAAAAGCAGACACACACACACACACACAGAGGCAGAGGGATAGGTGGAGGGAGATTGTCAGTGTGCTGATTCACTCCCCAAATGCCTGCAGCAGCAGGGCCTGTGCCAGGAGCCTGGCACTCAATCCAGGTCTCCCATGTGGGTGGCAGGGCCCAAGTACTTGAGTTGTCCTCTGCTGCCTCCCCAGGGTGTGCATTAGCAGGAAGCTGGATTGGAAGTGGAGTAGCCAGGACTTGAACGAGGCACTTGGATAAGAGATGTGGCGTCCGAAGCAGCGCGCCTCAGCTGCAGAGCCGGATGCCCCTCCAGGAGCTTTCAGAAGTCATCCTCCACGCTCTCTGAGTCCGCTGACCCCCCGACCACACTGTCAGGGGCTTTGCTTGGGTTCTTCTCTCTGCAGGCTTGGGACCAGCCTGGGATTCAGAGTTTTCAGCACGTTGACCTCCACACAGTTGGGAATAAGTCCGCCTGGGACTTAAACTCACATCTTGTGTTTTCCAAGCTGGTCTTCTGTCCACTATGCCACCTTGGAATTTGGTTATCTTACAGAGTATAGCCCCCATGTCTGCATGAAGAGGACTTGTCCATAAAACCTCTCTTTTATGAATTCACTCTGAAGCCGCTGAGTACCTATTTTACACCAAGCCTCCCCACGGACAGCCTGTGACCATGAACAAGCAGACAGGATCCTCCTCCTCTGGAGTTGGTAGTCTTAGGGTGGGGGGATGGGGAGAAGGAACACAGCAGGTCGTTTCTGATGGTGGTGAAGGTGATGAAGGTGATGACCTCCGTGTGTGGGTATGGGGTCATTTCAAGGAGGGGATTTGTGGACCCCTTTTCTGGAGTGCTGTACCTGGAGGAGGAAGCTGGTAGTCATTGAGGGGTCAGCATATCCCAACAGCAAGAGGGACTCTCATAGGAGAGGCTGTGGAGTGGGACTCGGCTTGTTGGAGGAGTCGAAGGGAAGTCTGTATGATTTGTCTTAGGGTGTTTGTAGGGTCAGCCAGGAATTTGGCCCATGACTTTCGGCTTCTCCTGGAGCAGGCACGAGGCCCCGGGCTGTTCCGCAGAAGTCCTTGCGTAACCACAGTCAGTGTGTGCTGGCGCCCCAGCCCTGGCCCTGCCTCCATCCCAGTCCTGAGCGGTTGGTGCCTGCACTCCCAGCCGCTGTTTCCCAACCAAGAACTACAGATATGGTCCCCATCCTTTCCCCCCGCTGAATTCATTTCTTCCCCTTCCTTATGAGACTAGAAGCTCTGTGCAGACCGCGGAGAGGTTTCTGATTTCTATCTAATTTTCTGTCCCCCTAGCCCATCTACCCACTCCCAAAAAGTGTCAAGGCCATGTTTGCTAAATCAGGGCAGATCTGCCGATCCAGAAAGTGAGGGTTTCAGGAATACCTTAGGTACCTTGGAGTAGGCTGGGTCTGTTGACCCGCTTTAGAGAGCGGCACTTTGAGCTACAGAAGGAAAACGGAGGCCTGTGTGGGTACAGTGCCTGGCTTGCTGCTGGCTCCCTGCATCCCCCCACCACCCCGGGCCCGAGGCAGAGCCCACCCCAAGTCTCCTTCCCTCGGGGATGGCTCGCTGGGAAGACAGATGCTGCTAGCCCGACGGTTCTCTCAGTCATCTTTGGGGTGAGATTTCCCCACCTGTACAGCACGTGTCACACCTGTAGCTCTACTCTCCTGACACCTTCTCAGAAGCATTTAGAGAAGGAAGGGCCTGGAGAGGGTGTCCGTTCAGCTCAGCGCCCTCCTTTGGGATGGAAGCAGTGGGCTATTCAAATTCCAGTCTGATGCTCTCTTGTCCCAGCTCTTCTGGGGCTCCTCCCTCCCCAGACGGAAGTTCAGTGTCCTTGCAAAGACAGCCAAGGGACTGTGACCTGTAGCTCCTGCACCCTACTTCCCTGGCCCTGTCTTCAGCTGCTTTTAGTCCCCGGCATTGGCTGTGCACACCTCCTTGCTGGGGCTGGGAGTCCTCTCTGCCTTCCCCTGTCCTCCCTCGGTGGGTGGACCCATCCCCGTCTCCATCCCTTACTTCTCAGCGTAAGGACGGCTGCGCGGTGCAGATCCTGCCTGGGTGATGGACTCCCTGTTCCATGTGCAGATCCTGCCTGGGCGATGGGCTCCCTGTTCCATGTGCCCCCAGCGCTGCAGGTCCTCTTCTTGCATCCTGGGTAATTCCTCCGTAATGTTCAGCTTCCCTGTTGCCCGTGGGCTGCCTGAGGGCAGGGGGTATGCTTCCTGCCCTGTGCAACCTGGCAAAGGGGTTGTCCATCTGTCGAGGGGAAAAGCGAGTGAACCAGAAAGGCCCTTGGTGCTTTTCTGCATTGCTTAGGTTTTCCGGTGAACTCTGGGCCATGTCTTGAGCTCCTGTTTCTTTGACTGCAGCCGTGGCTGAGAGAACAGGGCTCGCAGTGAGGAAGTGAAGGTGAGAGACGGCACGGAGGGCAGAAGCATTTCTAAGCGCTTGCCTGAGTCCGGCCTGTCTCTGAGCTCTTCAACTGAGTGAGCTTGTGGATCCCCACCATTGTTCCTGTAGTCTCACTCTGCAGCCAGTCCTGGGAGTCAGGGGCAGAGTGGTGATGAGCGCCACATGGGAAGAAAAGAAGTCGAGTGGGTGGTGGAAACTTCAGGACGACCAGCAGGTTCACTCTGGGGCCTGTTTGAAGAGGCCACAGGAGTCTGGCTTCGGGACTGTGTATGCTTCCAGTTCTCTCCATCCACAGGGGGCAGAGTTCCTTGCTAGGTGCCGGCCTAAGCAGGCTTCACACACAGGCTCGGCCACACTGCACAGAACCCATGGAGGACAGGGAGCTTTAGAACAGGTACATTGTTTGCTCAGTGTCACCTGGCTAGCTGGTGGCCCATGCTGACCCTAAGACCCACTTGTTCACTAGGGGATTTCCCGGCTGGTCTATGAAGCAAGCAGTTCTGGTTCACTTCTTGAGTGTAGCTAAAATGTCCCTCCTGGAGGCACTCAGGCTAGACTGGGGACTTAGGCCAGCAGTGCACTGTGCACATCAGCAAGGTCCCATCTGTGAGAGCAGGCGCAGAGCCCTTTGTTCCAGTAGGAGACAGACGGTTGTCATGACCTTTCCCCGTCTGGGGGCCACAGAGAGAGCCCTAAGCTCTGCCTGCTCTCTGGATCAGGATCTCTGTGGCTGGTGGCCCAAATAATCCCTCTGCTCTCCTGCTGGGCCTCCTCCCTCTGACAACCACAGAACCCCGTCGCCAATAAAAAAGCAAATGCTTCTTTCTAAAGCTAAGGGTCTTCTGCTCCCAGCCAGAAGCCCGCTGTCTCTTCTTGCAGTTTCTGCTCTCAGAGCCATTTAATCTCTCCAAAGAAGGTGGCCCACTTGTCCCTGTTAGCATGAGATTTTCCTGGTTTTAACAGTGAAAATTGGTCCATCCTAAGCAACCCCCCAATCCAAGGTAAACCAAGACAGTTGGTTACCCTACAAGGGGAGAGAGTTGTTGAGAAAGGTTTCTGTTTCATCACCAAAACACCATTTATTTATCTGTGTCATGTATCCAAAAGTCTGTTTGTGTGACAAACTGTCCAACCAACATTCCCAGAAATCAAAAGTCAGGTGCAGTTCATTTGGTCAAGGACAATGTTCTTGCCCAGATGTAGCCGCTTTTCTTTCCATGCTTGCACTCCCCCTGTTGGACACTAGATGGCAGCCCTTCCCCTGTGAATGTCACTCAACTGGCCTTTCTCAGCAGTGCTAGCCTTGGGCCGGTGGAAGGTGAAATTCACTTGTGAATGAAAGGTACTAAATGGCAAGTGGAAGAGTGTCAGATCCAGCTTAAAACCCTTCTCACATTTAGCGTCTGGGGTGGGAAAGAAGGCATGCGGTTTGACTGCAAACTGGGTCTCCCGGCTTTCCCCCCTGATGTGAGCAGTGTGTCTGTTGTGAATAGATTGTATTGATGTGGGGTTGGGAGGGAAGCCAGACGCAGGGAGCATCTGACCAGTGGGTTTAATTACCGCCTTGGCTCCCTGGTGAGTGAGCACGGTGAAGCCAGAGGTGTCCCTTGAGGTGTGTGTCACCAGGCACAGCTGGCCAAGGCTTGCAGACAGGACCCTCGAAGACCCTGGCTCTCACCACCTGCAGAGAGCACAGTTGCTAAATTTACATCCTGGGGAAAGAACCCTGCTGGGCAGGAGCTGGCAGGGGAGCAGGGAGACGTTGGGGAAGGAGAAGAGCACCAGCTTGGGCTAGTCCCCAGGGGCTTGTGACGGAGTCCCATTGTCCGGGCTTTTCATGGAGAAAGTCGAGTCTGAGAAACTGTCACCTTCTGTTTAAGCCCTGCCCACCCCCCAAGACCCAGTGACCATCAACTAGTACCAGATAAGTGAGGCGTGCAAGTTGTGCTTATTATGTTTGCTTTCCTAACCTTGTTGAAGGTGACCGCTTCCCAAGCCATCCTGTTCACCCAGGGATGGGTGGAGCTGGACAGACGCCCGGTGTGGCCCAGGGGTCCAGGGGCTTTTCAAACTGGAGAACTATCCAGAGCGACCCCACCCCAGGCTTCCTTAGACAAAGATGCCTTTTATTCTGCGGGCTCCATTTCCAATGCTTTGTTCCCTGACCCGCCCACTCCCAACACACCCTCCAAAGCGCAATTTCTGAGCTTCCAAGCAACGTTTCCCAGACTGTCTTTCACATCTGTCAACAGCACAAAACCACATCCACATGTCCCAATTTGGGGTTCAGAAATATAGTCTCTATAGATAGGTTTTTAATGAAAGGAAAGACAAATGATCCTCTAGTGGTGAAGCCGGGAAGGGATTTGCAGAGGATGCAAAGATAAGCTGGGGAAAGAGGGGGAAGGGCAGCCTGGGGGTGGAAAGGAAGCCAGTGCTCCCCCACCCCAGGCTGGGAGGAGAGCCGGGGGCTTGGAAGGGCTGTTGGGA